AGTAAAGTTCTGAATAAATAAACTAAGTGGATGATCCAGTCTGGCTCCAGTTTCTCTCCCTTGTGGGGTGGCGTGGGGCAGTGAAGCTTTTATTGACTCCTCTTAGCGATTTAAAAAAACATTATAAGATCTTTTAAACGCTGGGGAGAATGAACTTGGGTAGGTCAGAGTGAAATTTGGGGTGCACTGCCTACTCCAGCACCCTTCTAGACCCGACCCAGGGATGACTGTATTGAAGATAGTATTGTTTAAACAGCAGGTACTATTACAAAATATCTTACCTACTTGTACAAGGCTTTAGAAAGTTCTATTCATAAAATCGAATTTCAGTGAACATTTTCGCGATTTAAGCTTTCCTTATTTTAGTATTTTGCGTTATTCTGTTTTGATATTGTTCCTAAGAAGTTGTTATGTTAAAAGGTTGTGAATCAGTCATCGGTTTATTATTCATACTTAAAACTTAAGTTATAAAAAGAAAAAGTAATAATAACGTGTTGCTAATGTCACATAACAAAAAGTTAAGAATTTAGGTTGGATTGTTTTGTTTTAGTATATTTAACATCTTCTTTTGGTATTTTTAAACCAATTATACAATAAAGTGGTGAAAATGAATTATTTATATTGAAGTAACTCTCTGATTTAGGTGATAGAATTATGGTAGTCTTATTTTCTTGTTCTTAATTATGAAGTTCATGAATGAATCACTAGAGGACACAATAGTATGTGAAAACTTTTAATACGACCCAAATTTTTTAGGCAATGTTGAATGCTCTTATACTAAATGTTTGCAATAATATAAACACAAAATACTTTCTTCATTTGTGTGTTTTAATAAATCGCTACAGAGGAAACAGATTTTTTCTCAGGATAAAACAAGCAGTTAGATGTTGATTATACATTTAAAAAAAAATATTTATATGAAAAGCAGTCGGTGTTCCATATTCTAATAATTAGAAATACATATGGTATTATAAAACTGTAGAACTCTGCATTGGAATTCGAAAAACCATTCTAGCATATATGAACTTTTCCCCCGAATTTGTTATCACAACTATTACAGTATACGTCATAGAATAATCAGTTTGTAATTTTATCTCAGTAAGAGAAAACCTTGGGATCATGCTTAGTTAATCCTTTATGACTTCAAGTAGAATTATAACTGCTTGAAGCAAAATTTGACAAGATCTCAAGCGACACAAAGCACACAAAATTTGCTTACATCACTGAATTTTAAACATGCGGTATAAACATAAATTTCATGTTTCCACCTAGTGATGAATTATTTCATTAAATGATAAATATTGATGTGAGTTTTCTTTTAAATGCTAAGATTTATTCTATTTCGATGACGAGGTACCTGATGATGACAAAACCTTGTCGAAACGTTGTACATTTGCTGTCATGTTAAACTTATATTAAAGTTTTTCTTCATTACCCATTTAAGCCGTCTCCAGCCATTATTTATTCTATTTATTATCAGCCTGTTAGACATTAATAAAACAGGATGAGAGAAAACTTGCAGGGCGAACTGCTATCGTAGTTATATATACATATATGTGTGAGTGTATTTGTAACTATTATAATGATATTAGTAGAATGAACTTGTGTGTATGTATAGAGAGAATATTATAACATCATTAAAAACTTTTATTAGGCGACATTTTGAGCAAACGCTCTCTATCAAGGCATGGTTAACTTTATCGGAATTGTTTTTAATACACTAATAATGTTCAATACTTGCTCCATTGTTGTAAAGTAAAGCACAACTATATTTATATATATAATTAAATATATATGTATATGACACAATAGAAAAATGCCTTTAAATATATTTTTTAAAGTCATTTTTATGTTGTTTGATATTTATTCATCACTTCCTTCAGCAAAATTTATTTGTTTCTTAATATATATATATAGGCATCTCGCCAAGAAGTAGCAGATGGATAGTGTCTGGTAGGTCTTTCATTATATATCGATAGTGGCTGGTAGGTCTTTTAATATAGATGGATGGTAACTGGTAGGTCTTTTAATATAGATGGATGGTAACTGGTAGG